TGTGATATCTTCACTGAAAATTGATGATTCATTCGTCTACTGAGAAAAACGGTTAGCTCGTTCGGCCCATCAGAAGATTGGCTACACTGCAATGCAATATTTCTACTGATTGTTAATTTTGGTGACATGCATCAAATCATCCCCTCATGCGGTCGAAGTAAGCTTCTTTAAGCAGAACTTTCCCCCGATATTTAGGAGAGTGAGGGTCACTTTTCACCAATCATAATCTTAATTACATTGGTCATACTGTAGCGAGAAGAAGAGCTGGCTGGGAAAACGTTAATTGATCCAATTCAAAAACAACCGGTGTACTCGTTCAAATATATACATTCAATTCTTAACCGCGCAGAAAGATGATTCATGCCTCTTTCTGTTGTTCAATCCCTGCTGGTTTTGGTCCGCACTGGGCACGTACGTTGCGCCTTCTTCCACGTGCCGTTCCGGCTGGTTTGACCCGATCGTAGAGCGAGGTACGATGATCGACAGCTCCGACGTAGTGCCATTAGGTGTATATCTTTCTGGTTACCTGCAGATTGTCCGTCTGGCTGTAATTGTCGATTCGCTCGTTTCGGGTGGCACTCAACATTGTCTCGCGAAGTACTTCCAACCACTACGTCTGCGCGTCTGGTTGGATGGGCCCCATTGTTGATTCGTTCGTTAGCCGGGGGCCTCTTTTTACCAGCTTCCATCACAATATTATCTTTTGATCCAAGATTATAGACAGCATTAAGTAACAGGCACGCTTCGAAATATAGACTTACACTGCCCTATGACCGGGGATGCTATAAGCGGTGTATGTTCTCACTCCCATAACAGGGTATTTTGGGAAATTAGCCATACATTTCATCATACCGATAGGAGTTTATCATTTACCTTTAAGAATTTCATGAAACCTTGGGTATAGTCATAGAAACGTTAGTTCGAAGCTTTCATGCCAGCAGACCTAAAGCGGTTTAAACTTGACGCTTATTTTGAACAGTGGTTTCAAAAAGAGTAGTTTTCTGTTCGATTAACGTTGTTTGATGGATTAAAGATGAAAACAGTTTTGTATTGAGAAGATCGGTATCTTAGGTGGAATTTGAATCTACGCATGGACACCGCTGTTGTACATCGCATGATATAACGATTTTAGCGGCGAGACCACAATGCTTGTACTTTTCTTTTTACGTTTAGATCACCATGGAAGCTGACGTGACCGGCTTCCATCATCGGAATCCATCGAATGAAGCTGATAAATCTGTTCAAATTTTTCAAAACTCCTTCCGCTACTGTTAAAATCAATGTAGTTAGTTTCGTTTTGTAAAACTGGGAAACTTGTTGTGGTTAATCGCAAAAAGGAGGTTTCCAACCTCAACACCATTTATAGTTAGTGTGATGCACTATCAGGATACATTGACACAAACCCTTTCGATGTGTCCGCATCAATAACGTTGAGTTTTCTATTTCACACCGCAAAATCACAGCTCCCATCGGCCCGAGAAACCAACCATTGCTGCAGAGGAGAGCATTTTAAAAATTAGCGTTCAAAAGGATTTGATATGCTGCACAAATTGCATTAGAGCGTCAATATGGGCTAGTGAGTCAGTTGAATTAGTCTAACAGGTATTAGACCAGTCAGACTGGGTCTGATTGTCCGGTTGTTATCAACTTGGAACTGCAACCAATGATCTGGACCCATATGCCTTTATTGGTGTGATGAGGTTTTTTCAGTGCCACCGATACGGTCCGCGTTTATCAGATACTGAATAAATCGTGTTGTGTTGTACATTCATATCATTACTGATAAGCACTCATTTTATGAGGCACATTTTGGGGCCGGCTCTAGAGAAAAGCTGACCAAGATTGTCCATGGTTCAACATCTGTGAGTGGGCGTTTAAATTATCCAGTTCGTTTCTACAGTCATTAGAATCCAACTCATCAAAATCATTACGGAATTTGATAAGCTTCAGTTTTAGAACTAAATCTGTAACAACACACGAGATTCATGGATAGAGCGAATCTCACTGAAAGTTTTTGGCATCATGCTCATGATTATTGAGCAAATTAGCTTGTCTTAGCCGAGAAAAATGAAAAAACCAAAACACAAATAAATTTGAATTATAAAACATTATATGTCGTTTTTATTCATAGTATTATTTACCTATTGGTCTTCAGCATAGAAGTGATAAGGGTTTGTTGGTCCCCAGATTCGTTACGATGTACATTCACAGTTGTTTAGATTAGATTGGCAAACGCTCTACATTCGTCGGTATTTATCACGATGCTCCAAGCTCATCATTTGCCTAATATCCAATAGTCCACCAATGGAGACAAGACAACAATGCAGTAGAGGTAACAGATAGCTTTGGTTCAATGTGATTAGTGCAGAAGCCCTGGACAAATCACATACTGGAATGAACCTGCTTACCTACGAAATCGACCAGCTCGCGAACATTTAAGCACAGAGAAAACTAGCCTCTGGCCCCTCCAGGTCCCAATCAAAGTTACTGAAGTTCACTTGGAATAGCGCATATCGGGGAAATAGGTTGATTTATTCAAAGGTGAAAAGAATAGCTTTGTCACATTCGGTCCCATGAACCATTCATTCTTCTGACAGTCCCAATACACATCAATGAGAGATATTGACGTAAAGATCACTGGGCGTGTTGCGAAATTCCATCATCGAACATTAAGAGAAAATTCACTGTCATTTATTGAACAAAAATAACAATTATGAGGTCCTAGATGGAATGTGACAATCAATCAATCAATCAATAAAATAAATATTCATTTTAAAATAATTAAAACTGGGTGTAGCATCGAGATTGCTCACGTGAGCATTATCCGATTAAAAACATCCTCAGAGGATACTATTTCCAGGTTTACCCTTCTCAATGTGAAGTTCCGAAATGCATAGCAGAGAATTCTACAGAAAGACGAAAAAATCGCGTGAACAAGGTGACCCATTAGAAAATGTTTCATTTCCGAAGTTTCTCTTCACAATTGAGTGCAGCAGATCTTAAGGCACATACTTTTTCCGGTTTTTACAACCGTTAACTATACACTTTTTGAGCCAGTTTTGGTTGCTGTCTTTTGACCACCCATTAGGATAAACGAGCAGAATGAAGATTAGAATGTTGAGAGCAAATTAAAGCGGAAGGATAGAGAATTGATATAAACTGCAGTTGCAAGAATATTGAGTAGATGCACGAGCGCTACTGTTTGCGATACTCAGTTGTATCATTCAGCGTCTCTAACCACCTGTCAATTTGATCTCGGGATCCCGATCCAGGAAGCTTACAGGGACCTATGTGACCCAACCTCCTGGTTAGGGTTTTCATACACTCATGCCAGGTCTTTGTTTGACCACCCTTGACCTTTTCCCAATCACTTTCTGACTCGGCAAACATCACTCGCTGTGGCAACCTATCTGATGGCATGCGCAGCACACGTCCCAATCAGCTTAATCTACGTACGTTGACCACTTGCTCCAGCAGACGATCGCGGTTACCTTACTCTCGGTGCCTAGCCTAAAACACTTCGCATTGCTCGTCCGGTTTCCCCACTAGACTCGCGCAATGTGAGGTCGACAGCGGTAGTCGAACACCGACAGTCTATCTTTATCCTATTTCCGTAATGGCTAAGTTTCTGGGCCGTATATCAGCACTGGCCGAACTGCTGCAGCATATACTCGATCCTTTGCAGACAGCAGAATGTTGTGACGGTGCCAAAAATATCTCAAGTTGGCAAATGCCAATCGAACCTTTTGTGTACGAGCCAACACTTCATCTGGGGCGCGTCTGCCAGATGAGATATAACTGCTCGAATAGCAAAATCTGTCTACTTCCTCTACTACTTCCCCGGTCAGGGTGAGATTGGGGACTGGATCAACCCAATCTTGTAGTAAAATTTTACATTTTGAAGGTGCAAAAGCACACCGAAAATGGCCATGCTGGGGCTCAAGCTATCCAGAAAAGATTGCAACTTACCTGGACCTTCTTTTAGTAGCACAATGTTGTCTGCATACTCCAGATCAGATGGCCTACCACCTGGAAGTAAATCGATTCCTTTATCCTTTCGCATACTACCCAATACCTAGATAAGTAAATAAGGGTTCCTAAAAAGATTTCTGGGGTTCACAAATCTTCAAAAGTGAATTGATTCACCTTCAACTACTCGGAATGGGCGTGGACTAAAGTAGGTACGCCAAGTTGGGGTCAACCGTATCCCATACCTGGATAAGCTTCAAACCTGAGAGGATTGGGTATTGTTAAGTGATGCTAGCAGTAAATTTCACGGAATTTCCCCGAATAGGGTTCGAGCTCAAAAGGCTATCAGTAACTTCAATAAATTGAAATAATGTGAAAATCTACGAACTCCGAGGTAACACAATACTACGATCAGTAAGCGATACACATACATTTTTTCTCAGAATACTCTATTACGAGGTGTATTTAGCGAGGGTCAAAAGGTGTTAGCTTGCCGATTATCACAGAGAACTGGAAAGTTATCACCGGAAAAAATACCTGAATGATTGTTAATCTATCTGCGCGGGTTTCTAAAATACCGATGAGATCACATGATATCATATGCACGCACAACCACACACACACCGCAATACACTGCTTTGACGGAATGATTGTTAGATCTAACCTCATTAAACGGTATATCATTTCATTGATGTGAATAAAGACTTCAGTTTGAAAAACAGTAGACGAAAAATTGTATCCAATCGTATATCTACATAAATCATTCAATAGGTGTAGAATACAAAATCTTTGTAAATATCTGAATGTGTGTGTCTGTTAGATGAAGAAAAAGGCTAACAGAAAAATGGAATCACATACATGAGGGAGAGCTATGTTTACAACAGTGAAAGCGAAGTCGAACTGAGAATGGGAGTTGGGGAGGATGCCGGGGACACAGATTCTGGCCCAATGCATAATGTCCTCCTTTGTATTCGACGCATGCACAATGATCACACTTTGAACCACGAGTCTTCTCCGCTGTTCAGTCCTTATCAAAAATCAGTGATCAGCACGTCTACATTAGCCACCTGGTCGGATTCCTCTTCCAAATTCTCTCCCCGTGTATCCGGAAGGCCAAACACGGCCAGAATGGCCACGAAAATCGAGACTGTATAGAATGCCATTGGGCTACCGTGACCCAATCGACTGTCCAGTTCGTTTGTAAAGCTACATAGAGCCGCACCAATTCGAGCAAATCCACCACAAAATCCGAGACCCTTTGATCGGAATCGGGTCGGGAATAGTTCGGGTATGTAGATAAAGATCATATCCAACGCTGATTCCAAAGTGGTCAACGATATACTCACGGTGATCATGAGAAATAGATCCGTTTCGTGATTCTGGGTTAAAGTACAAACGGCAGCAATTAAAGTGCTTAGTAGGGCGACAAAAAATACTCCCAGCAAAGGACGTTTACGCCAGTGAAACAGTCTATACAGAATGCATGAAATCAGGGTGCCAGGCAATGCGGTTGCCGCATTGATAACCGCAACCACGTAGACAACTCCTCGTACCTTGTTTCCGTACAACATCATTCCATAGTAGCTGTATACGTGACATATGAATATAATCGAACCAAGAGCTAAACGTTTGAAATGTTCTCGA